CAGCCAGCCCACGAGTTATGCCCATCCGGCTTCCCAAGCTCGTGCCCTGGCCAAGGCAAGGGCAAATCTGATCAGCCAAATACCTAAGCTAAGTAGCCGATCTAACCATAACCGAATGCAATAACATTCATCAACAACATTTTCCTTAGCCAGTTGAGCACAACTCATGAAATTTTATATACTCAAGTTACCAAACAAAAAGCTACAAGCCCGCATAAAAATGCCTAGCAAAAAACAAACACTATAACTGTAGCAAACGATGAAAAATACCAAATTAAAAACCGTAAAAATACATTCGACATCCTAAAAACTGTCAGTCGGCCGGATCAGCCATCGGAACCAGACTCCAATGGCTCACCATCCACTTGCTCATATGGTATTGGCATAATCAATGAAGCGTTAACAGCAACAAGGGCTTTGTGCCAGCCGTGTTTGAATCCCCGATTTTAAAACTTGGGGACTTGGTCCACGTACTCGGCAAGTCCAGCATTTTTCCCAGCCTCAAATACTTTGGAAGACTCTGAGTTAGCTGATTCCTTCACTGCCTTCATTTCAGCCAACTTAGCCTCCAGTTTGGAGATCGCCTTTTGGGCCAACTTTAGCGTTTCTTCGCTCGCGTCTACCTTCTTCTCGGCATCCGACCTCAATTGATCCGCGCAACGAGCCTTCTCCATCTTGGCGTCGGCCCTTGAGGCTTCCTTGTTTGCCCTCAAAGCTTCGACCTCGACCCTTCTCTTCTGGCCTTCAACTTCCTCGCGTAAATGACCAATATGTTTGACGGCATCGCGATGGCGACGGCCCATATCGGCTATCCATCCGACGATCTATAAAACAAGAATTTAAAACCATAACTTCAACAGTATTTGGATTAAGTGAAGCTAAGTTCGAATATGTGTCAAAAGTGCCGATTGGGCGGCTAGTGCTATCGCATTCAGATCCGTTTCCACCCGGAAAGCCTCCTTGTCAGACTGCAACGACACGGACGTAGCCAAGCTGAATGCGACTTCTGGATCTTTAAGCGTCGAAGCATCAGAAGAAACCAGCATGTTTTTTATCATCGACTGAATGACAAAAGGAACGATCACGTCTGATCCCTCTAATCGAGGACGTTTGCCGCCATGTTCTTCTACGCCGGCTTCAAACTTGGCAGGTCGTTTCTCTACTTCGACTTCTTGGCCGGCCTGCATGATCAAAGTAGATTCTGTATCCCGATTTTTCGCCGTCTCTACCTCAATAACGCGCAAGGACTCTGATTCGCTAACAGGCAAGGAGAATTGAGATTCGGTGGCGGGTGGTACTTCAGACGGAAGGGCCTCCGCTCTTCGCTGGGCGGCCAACCTTTTCGCATTCACCTTCTTGGCAAGTTTTGTCAGGCTTAACCTGGCCATGTTTTCGGGGTTTGCGGCGGGAATATCCTCTAAGCTGTGAAAAATGCCGTCAAGCGAAAGATCCCCTCGGCCCGAAGCGGATGGGGGATCGGTCGAATTCAATACCGCGTCAGACTCGGTTTCGGACTAATCTGATTCGGTAACATTAGCTACACCCCGCTCCGAATCCAACCCTTCAAAACCAACCTGCCTCAAGTTTTTGAAGTCAGACAAAATAAGAGCAATAAGAGAATCTTCACCCTCCGGAACCGGGATATTTTCCGTCTCCGAGAAGGTCGTATATGTCGGTTCGTAACGAAGCAGAATGTGGGCCGCCCTGCCTTGTTTCTGAAGACTTCGACAGCCGAAATACTTGAGCGTGACTTCGATACCCAAAACAACGACATCGTCAGTCAAAGACAGGACTTTCTTCAAATCGTTCCCTGCACAAGCCAAGCCGTAACATTTCAAAGAAGAGGCTTTACAACAAAAACGAACAAATAATACAATCGAGAAAGTAATCAGCCACCTGGCTCGCGCCTCCGTCTAGGAATAGGGTCGACGTGATCCTGCCCTTCGCGAAATTCCCAGTTGCCCTGGACAACGACCATAACCTCATCAACTCATTTTCCAGAACTAGAAAGCATAGTAATCAGCTGATGGTCGATATCCTTGGCCCTAAGGAAGAAACGCCCGTGCCGACCAGAAGACTTAACCAAGGCATAACAATGCCGGATGGCTGGAATGCCAAGGTTAATTCTTAGGCGACGGTTGAGCGCTATAACCCCCATTATGACTCTAAAGAAATTCACATTAGGTTGGGAAGGCA